TTCAGACTTCCTTACAGAGCCCCTCCTCCAACACACACGAACGCGCACATGACCAATGAGGGCACGAGATAAGTTTGTGCACAGATGGAAGGCTGACAGGCAGGTAGGCCATCCAGTTATTTTAGCCGGGCCGAGGCAGATGATTGATCGTGCTCTTTACAGCGCCACGGCTTCCACAGATGAATTTTTTTTAATTTATTTATTGTAAAAGCATTTAATATATTCATTGCTATCGGGATGTTAAGAGCATTCCATGGAATATAGCAAAAAGTGTTTCTGAAGTGAATTACCTACCCCACCTTTAAGGATGTATTAAAAAAATATAACACATTCAAATAATTGCCTGATCTGCAAAATACACTCTAAAAAGGTATTCATTTTCACTACTTTTTTTAACTTTTGAGTGGGCATTTGCCATTTAAGATATAGAGAACAATGTGTGAAACATATTTAGCGCTTGCTTGGGAATTTCCGATAACTTTTAACTGAAAACCACAGATTTAGTCTAACGCATAAATCCTCCAACCAGGAGGAAAATGGTGGTTGAGGTTAAAGATGAAGGCTATGACAGTTGTTCATGCTGTATTTCCAGTCATGTGACTTTTATCGCTGTGCAGACTCTCCTGTGGCCTGACACATTCAGCTGATGCTGTACGGTTAGAGTACTCAGTACTGCCTTCGACCTACTGAGGACATGCTCTCCCCCCCCCCGATTACTTCAACCCAACAGACACTCAAAGCACAGCTGTTCCGTTCTGTTAAATTTAACACAAAACATATCCAACATTTTGCAGCAGTTTACAGTTATAATAAAGATGATGTTAGATATCTACAGCTAAATTAAGAGCTTGTTTCCCCAGATCCCCCGTCACTACACTGTGACCTCCTTCTGGCAATGGGTGTTAATTGAAAAGAAATTTACGGAAACAGATGGCAGTCGCTTTGCACAATCTATTAAATACCTGGCAAACCAAGCAATATCCTACAACTGATACAAAAACCTGTAATTTGATTTAACAACAACACATATTTTTACTGTGGAAAGTATACCCATTGTTTTGTCAAAAAGCTGATATATTTCAGAAAATAGAACAAAACATGCAACATCACAAAGCACGAGTTGCCGTTTTCAAAGTGAATGTTTATTTCGATCATTACTCAATTAAATTAAATCAATATTTAATATAATAACATAAAAAGGCAAGAAAAACCTAAAAATACTTGCATTTGTGAAGCTGAAAATCTTGCTTGAAAATCTAATCATGACTTAACCGATTGCTTGATTATCAAAACAGTTACCGATTAATTTAATCGATTAACCTAGTGATGCTCTACATAACTCCTGGATAGATAAAATAATAAGAAAATATTGTGTATATATATATATTTCTACGTATGGCCTTTTCTTTTGCAATGTGATTTGAATGCCCTTGATATTCGTTAGGAAAAATAACAACACATGAATAAAAAAACGTTTTTCTGTAGAAGCTGTTGTTATTTCAGCTGCCTAACAGACAATTTCCATTTACACAATCTTTGGGCCGGGTCAGCGCCACACTGCGGGAAACAGCCTTGGGCCAATTTTGGCTTCATTTACACCAGAAGATAACGAGATACTCTCTTTTCCTTTGTTGTCTGCATTGTTGTATTTCTGTATAATTGCACTGCTTGGTTATATTTGAAATGACTGCCAGCTCATTATTTTGTTCAGAGTATCATACGCTGCAAACTAGCAATGGTTTAATGCTTAAATCGTAAAAAAGCTAATTATATTCAAACCAATAAAAAAAGGTGGTCATGAAACATATTTGTATACAGGTGTGAACACATGCAGACGGATTCAATCTGGTGAATTTCTGGCGTTGAGGGTCCAGCTTTGGACCGTTTGGTTTGGCTTGGCTCCGGTCCACAGAGTCTAAAACAACCGTTCACTGACCTGGCAACAACAATCCCACACTGCAGGCAGCTGTGTGCTTATGACACTGTTGCGACCGCTGTGTGTGTGTGTTTTCTCTCCATATAAAAACGGTGGGTCGTCTTACGTACACGGTCTTATCTCACACGGCAGGAGGCTGGAGAGTTTTGACACCACTGGTATGTGCATACGTGAGATCCTTCACATAAAAGGCAGCCGGTTCAGCTGAGGTACATTTAATGAGAATGAATCACAGCAAGCCTGACTCACTACAGTGCAATATTTAATTAAGGTCACTGAGATAAATGGATTTAATATATCATTTAACTCTTGGAGAACAATGTTCTTCTGGAACAGAGTTTGGGGATCCAATAAATGTAAACAAATCTGTATCGGTTGTTATTTTAAATAGTCTGGGAAGTCAAGAAAGTATATCAAAAACATACGTTAGCAGTTAATTAGGCACACATAGCTAAAGCTTCACTGTATAATCCTTTAAAACGTTTACAACTTATCAATTGTTCTCAAATGTCTTTGTCGATTGAAAGGAAACTCAATATATTTTGGGTTTGATTGATTGGTCAGGCAAAACAGCATAATAAGTTACTTGAAAATGAAGAATTATATGGAAGATATTTTCATAATATACTTCACACAAATGATGAATAAAAAAAGAATGCAAATTTCTCTTTTGTGATTTGTCATTTTTGGAGAAGGCAGATAAGAGCTGGAATCGACCGAGGACATTGAGGTTATGTGGTACATGACTAGCTAATCAATAAGTAAAAATAGTTGAAGCTAGTTCCTAAAACAAATACAGTTGTACAGCAGATATCCACTATCGAGCCAGCACCAAAAACGGCAACCTCTAAATGGTTTAATCAATGAAAAATGTACACTAAAACCTAAATGAAGGTCAAATGTATTTCAGGACTTTTGTATAAGACTGCATTAGTTGAAGCAAGTGTAATCCATTATTCCAGTGTACTACAGCAGCTGACTCAACAACAGTTTTTCTAAAATGTTTCCAAAATCAGCATCACTGCAAAGTTGACCTTTGACTTGAGTCTGTCTATAGACATATCTGCTGTCTGTTACACAACAACCTAGTTGTTTTGCTAACAGGTTAAACTTTAGTGAGCTATAGGACAGGTTTTGCATAAGACCATCAGATAAGAGCACAGGTCATGTGTACTCCACAAGGACAGGTTCAATTCAGATTGTTTTGTTTGTTGCTGAGAAACTGAAGTCAGGAAGCCAAAAGCACACAGTCCAAAAGAGACCAGTCAGCAGTGAGCACTTTGAGTCATTAGTATATCCTGATAGCGGCAGCAGAAGGGATTTTTTTCTTTCAGATAATAAAGGGTTCCTGCTCTTTGTATTATTTTGTTTTCTCTTTCTTTAGCCAGGAAAGTCCCATTGTATTACAAAATCCAATCTTCCTGGGAGATCCATAGAGTACATTAGTATATTGTTAAATTCATTATCTAATAGGCATGTAGTGCAGAAGTGCTAGAGGCTGTAGCAAGACAATCCAGCCAGGACAGTTATTTATAGTACATTAATAACTTCCTCTACGTCAATGTTGAACGTACTTTTCTCAAGAGGGCTTTTACTTAAACTCAGTTCCAATACTGGCTTGGTTTCCTTTCCCCTGCATACTTCATCAAACACCTTATGATATTATTTCTGAATTGCATCTCATGTTTCAATCATATTATAAATTCTGATTTGATAAATGCAAAGATATTGTTATAAAAACTGCAATCATTATTAGATGTGTTGATATTGGAAATGTTGTAAGACTGCAGCGAACAATTACTTTTTATTAGCCATTGAAGTGCCAATTGTTATAGCAAAAATAGGATTAATGTTCAGTCCACAAAAGGTCTAAAAATAGTGAAAGAAATCATATGCTTAGGTCTTTTAATTGCTTCTTTTTTTTAAGTTAACATCCATATTTCCCTATTAATATCATATATAAAGCTGGAACAATGGAACAGTATTTTTTTACTAGAAATTACTCAACAATTGATCGACCAATAATATAATGCTTCAGTTCCAAAATGCTGTAAAAAAATCTTCCAATATTACTTCCTATGAATTATTGACAGTGATTTGTATGTATGCTTTATAACGTCAATATGTACTTACTACAAATGTTTATGTTATACGTGGGCACCCAGCACACTCAGTATATTTGTAATACACACTTCTGCCTATTATACACCATATGAAGAACAATCCGTCCTCATTCAAGGCAATGGCCGGATACGATTATTCAATGAGCAGAAGATTTCAAATAACCCAGAAACAAAAGCCAGCCTGTACAATCCTTTAAAACGACGTGTCTGACACAATTATTACACAGAAAATCTATTCACCAGAAAAAAGCACAGACAGAACAGATTAATGGCAAACACTGTCTGCCAGAAAACACCAGAACATTCCTGCACAGACAGTTTAATACAACCGAGCTGTTGGAGCATCTGTGAAAATTAGGAAGCTTTCCAGAAACAGGACAGAAAATGAAACTACCGGCCACAATTCAAAAGCCCTTTCAGACAAAATTGTGTATTTTTACTCGGTTTTGAACACAGTCCGGATGCAAATCCAATAATAAATACTTGTATTCGACAACAATATTAAATGTCTGCCAAACTGATAAGAAGTGGCATTATTCAGTTTTGCTTGTAAAACCTATAAGAAACATAAATGTTTAATTATTCAAGCCAGTTTTCCCCTTTTCTGTCTCCGAGTGATCTCGCTGAGCCTGTGGAGGTGCCACAGATGTGATGGAACTGCCTCCGTAGCTAGCCGTTAGCCGCTAGCTCCCAATGAACACAAATAAACTAATACACCTTTTAAAACAACTACTGTGCACTTCAATGATAGCCTCTAAATCAAGACACCAATATAGCACGTAAATTCAAAACAAACCCGTAGGAAATATTTGGTCATAAAAGACAACACAGAGCGTCAGACACAGTTAGCTTTAGCATGCTAGCAGCTAGCTTCTGAGATGCTGTGAGTGAACCAGAGGAAGCGCTGTTAGCAAAGGGAAGCTAATCAGTCAATATCTTACCAGGTCAAAACAAACAGCACCGCGCAGCAAGATGCATTAATTTCTTGTTTGTTTTCTGTAGCCGATGTCTGGAGAGACGGTGACTTCGATGAAATCAGTTAAGACGGTGCAGAAATATCGTCGGGAACATTGCAAAGACACTCGATAATAATGTGGTTCCTGTTTTTTTTGCTCGGATGCCCGTTTGCAGGTCGTTGCTTAGCGAGTTGGTCTACACACCCTCAAGGGACGAACCTGCCAAATACTGGCCCCGCCTCTCTCACTAGCAACACAGCGGGGGACGGCTGCCAAATACTGACCCCGCCTTGCAGACAGCAGAAATGCAGACGGTGGCATTTATCAGACACAACATATGATAATTAAACATCAAGCATTCATCTGTTTGCTTTTCACATGTGTATTTACTACTACATGTAACGTTTGTTATGTAACATTCTGTTTGTAGCTCATCTTAGTCTATTTGACATCTTCCTACGCATTTAGTATATTGGTCACGTGCAACATTCTCTTGCACTATTTGTTATTATTTTATTGTTGATGTCTTATTCATATTGCATTGTTAAATTAGCTTGGGACTAAACATTTTCGTTGCCATAACGAAACTGTAGCTACTGTGCACATGAAAACCAAACCTTTGAATCTTGAAAATAATTGTTTCTTTAATTATCTGTGATAATGATTTGTGTTGTCGTTATTGACTAGTTTAATCAGCTCCATTTTTATGTCGCAATTTATGTAGAGTAGGTAACCTAAAAAAGTGCGAGCAAGATCCCTTGTGATGATAAATGGTATTGACATATGTTATACATTCTATGAAAAAAATCGTTATCACGCCCAGAGGAAAAGCTTTTTATGGCAACCATTTTATAGGTATTGATTGACAGAGGGCATGGCATAATATTGATTCCAAATTTGTATTAACACCGAATTTCCCCTTTAGTTGGATTAATAAAGGGGCTTCTTACCAATTATTTTAGAAGAATGCATACAGTTTATACACAATTGAACTTGTTTACATTTCTCAAAATTCTAATATAATCAGATAGAGATAATCTTCATCTCACCGTCTTCATCTGCAGATGAGTTTGCTCAGCTGCCATTGTGACATCAACATTTTTAATATATTAAGATATCGCGAAAGTGTCTTTATGTCAGTCTTAAACACGCTTTGTGAGGCTTGGTTTTGGTTCAACTGAAGTGTGTACTTACCTGAACCCTTTTTAAAAAAAAATTCTATATTTATTTATATTGTGAAACTTCGCACCATTCTATGATTCAAGATTTGATCAATGCACAAATATCATTTATGATATTGACTTGAGAAAACATTATTATTTTTGCCTCTTTGCCCCCCAATATGCAAGTAGGAATTGGTGTCCTTCTTTGTATGGAAAGTAACTTTAGAATCTGTATGTTAATATGCACAATCATTCACTTTTAAATCCCAATGGCTTAAATGTTTACAGGTAAACTATCCCTGCATTGTTTACTGTAAACATGCATAATAATACTGTTGCCTGCTTTTCACATGACAAATATCGGTTGGTATTTGCCCCCACCTGGTGGACTGCTTGTCTCACAGCAGTTGATTTTAAACATCTTCCTCCTCACACATCTGAAACAGAATTGTATGATTGTAAAAAGTTACTTCAGTGAATGAATGCAAACAGGAGCTGTTCTATAGACACTTTATTGCTCTGTTTATTGTTTTTACACTCAATATTTACCCTTGGGCCAGACCAAACACTCCCCCTCCCAATTTCTGTTACCAGACCAAGTTTTAAATAGCAAAAACATAACTAATAATGCAGTAATACAATATACACGACACTATAAAGTCTTAAGGTGAAATCCTTCTCTCTAACATATAGGCTATACTGGTCCATTTACAAAATGCTTCTTTATATATTTTTCACATAAGATATAAAACAAGAGAAATACACATTCTTTAAAATGTAAATAAAATGTGTTGTTTTTGTATATATGCAGATATATATTTGTGTGTGAATTCAGTTCCATGGCAACAAATCAACACCCAGCAGTTTATATAATAACCAAGTGTATCAACAGTTTACAGAATAATAACATGTTTCGATTGTTCAGATCTAATAAAAGAAATAAGATGTAAAAGAGTATGAACAGCAACGTAGGATTTTAAGAGACAGTTGCACTATATTTTGTGATTTTCTATAGATAAAATTACTAAAATGTATATAGAGGAGTATTTCAGACGCCTTCAAATGCTTTTTTCATACCAGAATGACACAATGTAAAGCCCATTTTGAAGGATGAGTTTGAACATATTATGTACAGTGCTTGTCAAAAGAAACCCCAAAATGAATAAATCCTACACAGTCGTGTCCGGGTATCCCCTGCCAGATATAGCTTATTTGTCAGAATTGCTTTTTTAGTATAATTATTAATTATATGATACGCTTTTAAAAACAAATTTGTACTCCAACCCAGAGACTGTACTGTACAAATAAATGGCACACACATCTGATATTTGTATTTTCATCAACTGAAATTACACCCTGCCGGTTAGTAAGATAATATTTGACACAATGGGCGCCGAGGGTAGATCGCCTCTATCTGACTGAACAATAGAAACGTCTGTATTATATGTAACTGTACACTAACTGCCGCTCCTCTGCGAATACAGAGAATCACATTGAGAAAAGTTATGGCTACATTTTGACTAAAACCTCTCAAACGCCAGATCCTAAATGTTGGCGTTGTACAAATGTCCTACCTGTCATACTGAATACAGAGGATTGAAAAAAGCAACATTTGAAACACCCCCACTGTGTTTTCTTAAGGAAAGTTTTCCTGTTTCTTCAGAATTACACATTCTTAACTTTGTAAGAAACCTAAAATCAAATCCCTTTAAGTAACAACTGAACACAAATGGTGGAGTCTCGTCCACTTTTGGACAAGTTTAACTACAGTTGAAGAGACTGGAGTGGTGAGTGACTGTAACTACAGTGATGGCCGACTACAACGAGCCCAACACCATATATATATTTATAAGAACTAAGGATATCTCTTAATGTGCTTGACAGGTCTCAGGCAGAAGAGGAAAGAAGTACAGTTTGATTGTAGATAACATCTTGTACTCCGCAAAAACAGTTGTGGTGGTGCTATCGTCTTTTCTTGTCTCACTTGATCCACGTGTGCTGGATGGCTGAGGGTTTAGGCTTCATACACCCTGAGGAAGAAACAAAACATAGTTATTTGTTGTGATGAAATACTCTTGATAAGTGTTTCCTTTAGCTTCCTTCTAGCATGCTCCATTAAGGTGTTTTCCTTTGGTCTCATTTCCTTGTTATTATGTTGTTGTGTATATAGGTGGAAGGACAGACATTTAATCAGTCTGTATCCAACAGAGTCCCTGAGAAAATGTTATTTTTACTCAATAAAATACAGCTAACCCTGACTTCTGACCTCCCTGTGATTGAGGAAAGGTGAGAGGAGATTGCACTTCAACTGCTCTGATTATATGAAACAAGGTCAAGGGTGCAGCATAGGCCAAGGAAGACACCATAAACGTTTGAACCAGATTCTCAACAGGGGGAAGATACACACATTATTTTCACAAACAGCCTTGGTGGAGACAGCTATTTTGCAATCTGCAGTACATGCTGAATAGAGCTAAATACAACAGCCGGAAAGACATATCAACATTATAATTATAGGATGTAAAATAAAAATGCCAGGAATGAAAACTCAAGCGTACAAAATATTGTATCTAGTTTTGTGGTGAATTATGAGAGTTTTACCTGTGCTTGTCCTTCCAGATGCGGAACCACTTGACCAGATTCTTGGTGCTCTGAAGTTTGGGATGAAGACAGTACTCCTGCCCTTTGAACCGAGCCACGTTCTCCATCGTCACACTGAGAGGAAACAACAACCAACATATGTTAAAAAGAATACTATAAATGTTATTATTAAAAAATATTAAAATAATGTTTAACCTTATGCATTCATGTAAGCCTTCTTCAAAGGGAGCTTAACATCTCAAATAATAATCCAATATTATACACCATTATTCTACTAATAAGAGGATAGCAAGCCAAAATGTCAAATATTCACTCATTAAACTGGGACAGCAATATATGCTTGCTACTGTAATAAGATAAGGTAATCCTTCATTCATAAGTGTCACAACAGGTACATTTGCATTGAATGAATAGTGCAACAATGAGAGAATAACAACATTATAATGAATTAGTAAACTGTTGAAAACCAAAATATATTGCGTTAAACATCAAATCTAAATGTTTTCACATATGATGGAATTGCACAGGTTATGAAATAATAAGTTATATGTTTAAGAAAAGAAAATGTGAAGATTAAAAAATACAAATTTGAAATTCAGTGCAATCATTCGGCTACATAAGGTAGTTTTATCAGGCTGCATTATATGTTTGGAGTAATACATAACCATGTAATCTTTAACAGTCTGAGAGAAGTCTGAGTCCAGCTACAGGAGAAATGTTTTTGAATGAATTTCAAAGAACCAAATCAAGTAGAAATACAGATTTAAGGGGGTATTTAAATGATCTGAAAGGGACTCTGATTTATTTTGAATAGAGGCTATCAAAACGTAGCACATTTGACATGTTTTGCAGCAAATCTTAGATTCAATTGTAAATCGCCCTCAATAACATTCCCGCAGTTAAAAGCCCTCCCATTGAAAAGCACAGGGCCGACAGCCACTTGGCAAAGCAGTAATATTATGGAGCTGCCACTTAAAAATGTGACATCCAAGCTCATTGAATCAGTTGCTCTGCTAAAGGCAATGGTAGAGACAGTCTGCCCGCATGTGGCATATTCAGGCCAAACAAGTGAATTGTGGGAAAAACACCCAGCATGCCGGGGGGCCTCTCCATCCAGTGACACACTCAAAGGCTCGCCAAACCATGAATGCTTAATAAGTTGACTGGGGGAGAAAAGACCTGTCTCTAAATAAAAACATAGCATTCAGTGGTTATAAGGCTTTAAGTTAAAAAGTTTTGCATCTTTTCTCCTGCTCATTCAGTCCCTTTGTGTGGGTTTGAGGGGCAGCGGTACATGCTTTGTTAGTGAAGAAATGTGCTTTGAGTGCATGAGAACATTAAAGTGCTTTTGCACGCCAATGGACTCATATCTGCAAGGCTGCAATAACAAACACACACAGGATGTTTATCCATAGAGAGGGGAAATGTAATCCTCATC